GTATGCTAAAGCCTTTGTAAAGATGTCCGCCCGTTGATCCTTCGAGTTGAAATATTCCACTATAATTTGCCCACGTTCAACACATTCCCGTATGAAGTGATAACGAATGTCAATGGGTTTGCTTCGTCCATGAAACACAGATTTTTCATCAATGTGATTGCTGACTTGTTATCAACATATAAGGTGATAGGCATGATATGATGTCCCGTGAGCTCCTTCACGAGATTAGCAAGCCAAATGGCTTGACATGCTGATGCTGTAGCTGCCATGAACTCGGCTTCACACGTGGACAAAGCAACAGTCTTTTGATTTTGGGATTTCCAAGTTATCACGTTCCTTCCTAGATAGAAAATCATTCCACTTGTGCTCTTGCTATCAACAGGGTCACCTCCAAGATCACTATCGGTAAAACCAACCAAATCTTCAATTTCACGACCTCTTCCATAATTGATTCCATAATCAACAGTTCCTTTCACATACCGTAAGATGTGTTTCATAACTTGGAAGTGCAAAACGGTCGGTTCCTCCATGAAACAACTTGCAATTCCAACTGAAAATGACAAGTCCGGTCGAGTGTGAGTCAAGTACCTCAAACAACCTACCACTCGCCTATATTCAGTTGGATCAACTTTTTCACCATCTTCATCCTTTTTAACCTTCAACTTAGGTTCCATTGGTGACGTTGTCGGATTGCAATCCAGCAACCCAAATTGCTCTAAAATCTTCTTTGCATAAGCTATTTGTCGCAAAGATATTCCCCACTTCTTTTGCGAAACTTCGATTCCAAGGTAGTAAGAAAGTAATCCCAAGTCACTCATTTCGTATTCTTTCTTCATTTGCTCTTTGAATTCGACAACGTCGTTAGTGCTCGATCCGGTAATGATCAGGTCATCAACATAGACACCAACAATAAGAATTTTGTCTTTTGAGTTCCTTTTGTAAACAGCTGGGTCTTGTGAACTTTTTGTAAAACCAAGCCTTTTTAAGCTTTTATCCAAACGAATGTTCCAAGCTCGAGGAGCTTGTCGTAGACCATAAAGAGCTTTATGAAGCTTGAACACCTTATGACTGTTTGCTCTATCAACATAACCTTCTGGTTGGGTGACATAAAACCTTCTGGTTGGGTGACATAAACCTCCTCTTTGAGATCTCCATTGAGAAAAGCTGACTTAACATCGAGATGGTGGACAACCCACCCCATGTTGAGCTGCTAAGGCAAGAATGAGTCTTACGGTGTCAAGTCGTGCTACGGGTTCAAAAACTTCATCAAAGTCGACTCCTTCCTTTTTTACAAATCCTTTTGCTACAAGTCGAGCTTTATGCTTCACCACTTTTCCCAAGTTGTCTTTCTTCACTTTAAACACCCATTTCAAACCGATTGCTTTGTTTCCGGGTGGCAAATTGGTAAGTTGCCATGTCTTGTTCTTCTCGATTGCATCCAACTCTGCTTGCATAGGCTCCTGCCATGCTTTAGAGGTTATTGCCTCTTTAAAATTCAAGGGTTGATCTGCTGCAATCATCAACAATTCTCCGGGTTCAAGGAACACATTTTCGCCTTCAAAATAGATATCGGTTAATGGACGTAATCCCCTTGGCCCAATTTCATTAGAAGGGCTTTCCATATGGGGCGAGGTTGAAGAAAACGGGGCTGAGATAGGAGTTTGTGGGGCCGGTTCAGGCTCGTCAAATTCAACATATGGTGTTCCAGCTTGGATAGCATCGATTCCTGGACTGTTTGGTTGTTCCGGGTTGATTTCGGGGTCATTTTGAGGTGTTTCGAGGTGTATTTGGGGTTGTGGTTCAATTATGGTAAATGTCTTAGGAGGCGCCATCTATTCTTCTTTGTTTTTGTACCAATTCCATTCTTCTTTTTCGTCAAAAACAATATCGCGACTAACTCGCAACTTTCGGTCTTGCAGATCAAGCAAACGGTTGCCTTTAGTTCCATCTTCCACACCTAAATACACCATCTTTTTACTTCGATCATCAAGTTTCTTCAAGTGACCACCTACAAGTTTAGCAAAAGCAACACAACCAAAAACTTTTAGATGTTCAAGGTTAGGCTTTTTGCCAAACCATGTTTCATAAGGTGTCTTGTCGGGAAGTGCTTTTGTTGGCAGGCGGTTGAGAAGATAAATTGCATGTCTAACCGCTTCTCCCCAAAACTATCCCGGGACATTTCTACCTTTGAGCAGACTTCTTGCCATGTCCATAACGGTCCGATTTCGCCTTTTTACAACTCCGTTCTGGTTGAGGCGAATATGGTGTTGTAAGATGCATTTGAATACCATTTTCTTCACAAAATAATGAGAATTCTTTTGAAGTGAATTCTCCCCCTCGGTCCGTTCGAAGTATCTTTATTTGATAACCCGGATTCTTTTCAACCATCAACTTGAACCGTTTGAAAGCGCTCAAGGCTTGAGACTTCTCCGATAGCATGTAAACCCACATCCACCGGCTAAAATCGTCTACTAAAAGGAGAAAATATTTACTCCCTCCAACAGATGTAGGTGTGATCGGACCACATAAGTCCGCATGAACAAGTTGTAGAGGTTTTTTAGCCCGAAAAACTGCATGATCCGGGAAAGGAATTCGGGTTTGTTTGGAAAGAACGCACCCTTCACATACTTGGTTTGGGTGCTCAATCTTTGGGACTCCGATTGCCATATTCTTTTCGGACAACTTCTTTAAGGCGAGAAAGTTAACATGACCGAGTCTAGAATGCCATATCCAAGCTGGTTCGTCTTTTGTTGCTAAAAGACAAGTCGGTCTACCGGTCCTTAAAGGAGTTTTATATAACCGGTTTGGGGATCGTTTAACTCTCAAAAGTAGAGTTTTGTTTCTGTCAAACAATGTCAGATCCGACCCATCCATTATGACCCGACTCCCTTCCTCCGTCATTTGTCCAAGACTAATAATATTGTTTTTTAGACTTGGAATGAAATATACCTCATTAAGGATTCTTTGGTCACCATTTTTGCTATCGAATAAAATCGACCCTTTTCCTAAAATAGCGACGGACGAACCATCCCCAAATTTCACATGACCCGTAACGTGCTCATCTAGTTCACGAAACTTTGAGCGGTCTCCAGTCATGTGATTGCTAGCACCGTTGTCGAGATACCATACCTCGGACTCGACTCGACTTTCTCCAGATGTAAGAAGATTAACACAAATCTTCTCTCTTAGAGACACCTTTTTGTGTGCATATTCTTGTGCGGCTGCCATCATCAAAATAGGCTCTTCTTCGTTGGCTTGAGCGAGGTTCGCCTCCTCACCTCGATTCTTATTTGGACACTCCGATACATAATGACCAAATTGTTCACAAGTAAAACATTTGATTTTACTTTTATCCTTTCGAGAAGGATTATGGTCATTCCGATTTGTATTGTACTCGCGACCACCTCCTTGGCCACGTCCACGACCTCGGCCTCGTCCCCGGCCTCGGTTACCATGTCCTCCTCGTCCTCTTGAAGTGTTTGACGAGTTTCTCTCTCCAGTTTGCTTTGAACGAGATGCCCACTCGGCATGTGTAAGCAATAGAGAAGGTCCTCCTTTTTTTTCTCCATAGCTTCGAAGTCTCTCTTCATGGGTCTTAAGACGACCCACAACTTCTTCCACCCTCATATTCTTCAAATCTCCGAATTGCTCGATAGATGTTACGATTTGTATAAATCATATCGGTACGGCTCGCAGAAACTTCTTCACAACCGTTATTTCTTCAATCTTTTCACCTAGAGATCGAATACCGGTTATGATAATATTCAATCTCATGGAAAAATCATCTACCGATTCACTGTCTTTCATCCGGATAACCTCGAAGTCACTTCTCTAGGTTTGAGCTTTAGCCTCCTTGACCCGATCGACTCTCATGTGCATCATCTTAAGCGTTTCCCATGCTTCTTTAGCTGTGTCCTTCTCAGCTAACATCAGAAGTACGTCCTCTGGAATTGCTTGATAAATAGCCGCAAGAGCCATCCGATCTTTACGTTCGTCCATTTCTGCATTTTTAATTACATCCCATACTCCTTGTGCTTGTAAATTCACTCGCATTTTTATGGCCCACACCGCGTAGTTCATCTTCGTGAGCATTGGATAGTGTAACGTAACACTACCGTCTTTCCCGATCCTTTGAAAACTTTCAACTTCGGCTTGAGAAGATGACGAAGTTGGTGTAGTCATTTTTGGCATATACTTGGGCATACACGACAATGATTTTTTTTTTGAAGTATAGGGACCAGTATGAACTTTTCAGAAGTTCAGGGGGCAAATGGAACTTTTACAGACGTAAAACAGGGGCTAAACTGAAAATTTTCTGAAAAACAGGACAATAAATGCAATTTTTTTGAAAAACAAGGGCTAAATTGCACTTTTCGGAAGAACAGGGGCTAAACTGCAATTTTCTGAACTTTGGTCAGCTGCTGACATCACTGATGACGTCACTGCTACAGTGCTGCTACAGTACTCGCTACAGTGTCGTCTTCTCCGCCGAACCCTGGTTTTTCCAGCCAACTTTCCGGCGACTTTTGACCAACTTTGACCGGCGATTTGGAAGCCTTCCGGTGGTCAAAAAATTCAAAAAAATATATTTTCGGAATCCTCGGAACGAGACCTTTTCAATGGTGTACTCTGAAATTGTTTTTGAGACAAAAAAATTTCGACCAAAAAACAAAGAATGCTCACCGGAGCTTAACCAAGCTCTGATACCACTTTTTGGGGTTGAAACACACTTTTATTCAGAACTAGAACAAAAGAGAAGAGCTTACACGCTCAATATTACAAGAAAAAGAAACAACCCTCTAATACTCACTCTAAGTATTACTCAGTACACTCTCTGTTTTTGTGGTGCCTTACAACTCAGATTACAACTTCTATTTATACTAAAGCTAGCCACTATAAGTACTGTGGCAATTTATTGTGTTCATCGTGTGAAATAAAGAGGCTGCCATTTCTAGTTGTTATTGTCAACAAAGGAGGCATTCATTTGTCAACTAAAGAGGATGGTGCAGCTACTCATGGCAAGTTCACACCAAAGTAGGTTTACACTCACATTTTCCCCCTTATGGCAGCCTCTTTATTTCATACGATGTTAATACTTAATGAATAACAGTTAATTTGTCATTGATTTTCCATTGATCAATTTCCGGGTGGGGTTCAAGTTCTCATCTCTTTCAAAATCATATTTTCTAGGCTTATCAAAACATGTCCTCTTTCGTTGTTTAGTTTTAGTTTTTTCCCAAATGTTTTCCAATAAAAAAAAGTTAAGTTATAACCATATATGATAAAGTAGATTAGTTAGGTGTAGATTTTTTTAAGATGCATAATTTTGGCCTGGAACTTGTGTCAGTCATTACGTAGGGTTGAATATTCTTTAATATTGCATCATGCATTTATAGGTCCTGTGCAAGGTGCATTGGATTTGTCCGAAAAAGATTGGGAAAAAGCCTTTAAAACAAATGTAACAGGAACATGGTTGATGTTAAAGTATGTTTGTCGTCATATGGTTGCTCTTAATCAAGGAGGATCCATAATCAACATATCTTCTTGTGCTGGTCTTGGTCGTACTCATGAAATCGGAGCAGTTGCATATATTTCTTCAAAAGCAGCTTTTAATACCATGACCAAAGTGATGGCAATGGAACTTGGAAAACACAAAATAAGGGTAAACTCAATATGTCCTGGGCTTTTCAAATCGGAGATTACGGAGGAACTATTGAAAAAGAAATGGCTCAAGAATGTGGTTTCAAATATTGTGCCATTGAAAGATTTGGGCACTACGGACCCTGACTTGACATCACTAGTTAGGTACCTAGTTCATGGCTCATCAGACTATGTGAATGGTAACATTTTCATCGTTGAAGCTGGATACATCTTGCCAAGTGTACCACTTTATTCATCTCTTTGAACTTACTCAGGTTCTAAGAAATTTATGTCATGTTTGGAAATTGAAATGATATGTTGTGAAATCACAATAAAGATGGCATTTGTGCTATTCGATACACAAAAGTTGTAAGCTTAATTGCTATACAGGACTTTTGAAAGTAGGGATGTATTAAGGTATAAAAGGATATTTTAAAATGGTAGATATCTTTTTTTTTTCTTTTATTGTAACTTATCATTCTTTTGAAACTTGTAGATCTAAACATGTCCGAAGATGTTTCTTTTCTTAATTTTATAATATAATTTGTTATCATTTTCGAATGTAATAAAGTTAAATTGGTTTACAAAAATTGTAAAAAGAGACCTTATGGTTGTTAATGTTATGTGGTTTTTATCTAAAAATATATAGTGGTGTATCGTTGATCCAATTTTAGATACATTGTTTATTTTTGGTTTAAAAACATTAACTTCAACAAGTTTTAAAATAACAATTTTACCCTTAGAAACCATTTCTTCAACCAAACTACAAAAACCATTTACGCAACACTTCTCCTTAAATTTATTTAATCATTACACATTAATTCTTTTGTTTAATTTTTAAATTTTTTTTTAATTGGATTAATATTTTTAATTGTATTATTATATATTAATAAATATAATGTTTAATATATAATATTTATATATTATTAAAAATTACTTTATTGGATTATTAATTTCTTTTAAAAAATTATTTTGTATTTCTTTTTTATTTGATTGTGATATATCAATAAATATTATTTTTAATCTATAATATTTATGTATTAATAAATAGTATTTTTTGGATTATTAATTTGTTTTAAATAATTCTTTATTTATTGATTTTTTATTAGATTATTATAGACTAATAAAGAATATTTTTAATATATAATATTTACATATTAATAAAATATTAATTCATTTGATTATTAATGTCTTTTAGTTATTTTTTTAATTATATTTTCATTGGATTAATTCGTTTTTTAAACAATACCACCACCATTGTAATTTATTTTAAAAAATCTCACTTATCACATCACTACCGGACCGGGTGATGGTGGTGGTGTTTGATGGGTGTCAAATCCATCAAAAAAATAAATCTTGTTTGTGTATATGATTTAAAAATAATAGTAACAGTGATAAACATGGTCGATCCTGACAAACTCTAACAAGTTGTAGCATCTTTCATTCACCAATTTGTTTAATCAAAACAAGCTATTTGAATTAAACCTAATTGTAACGTTCCAATTTTCAACCTAAAATTTTTCATTTTATTTATTCAAATTTTCAATTATATCATAGTATAATGCAGAAAATGATTGTGAATGTGCATGAGTACAATCGAACATTGCCCTTCTCACAAACCAATAGAGTGTCTGAAAATATTTGTAACAACTGGGTAAACACTAGGTTTAGTGAGTTCCCCAAAATACCATATACTAATATATATATATATATATATATATATATATATATATATATATATATATATATATATATATATATATATATATATATATATATATATATATATATCAAGTATCTAAGCTCATAATCGCTTAAGTTGTTATTTCCATTTTCTAGGCTCATAAATGCTTAAGTTGATATTGCCATCATCTCGACTTTGAGTATCTAGGCTCATAATCACAGTAGCATTTTGTTTAAAATAAAATAAAGTGATTAAATAAATAAATAAATAAATAACAAATAATAAAACTTTAAAACCATGAGGTGTATTTTATTTTATTTTAGCCATAAATTCATAATAATTTATCAGGGTTAGCCATAAGGAGTTAAACGTTATAATTTCTGGAATTTGGGATCTATATTGTAACATTTAGGATTGAAATGAAAAGAATTTCGTGAAGCAGGGGCTGTTTGGTAATTAGTGGACTTAATTTGAAAAGAATAGGGATGGAGGGACTGGAAGTGTTAAAATCGCATTAAGTTTGATAAGTGGAGGCGGGACTAAAACCTATCACCTCCCATCCTTTTTGTTCCTTGTCTAAAAGTTAAACACCCCAAACCCTAACCCTAAAAACCTTGCAGCCGCCACCCTTATACCCCTCCCCCCCGGTCCAGCCGCTGTCACCTCCACTGTTGAAGTCAAAAACCACCACCGAACGACCATCGCTACAACTTTGTCGACGGGATTGAAGGCCGATGTTGTGGATGGTGTTGCTGTTGTTCTTAGTCGTCGTTTCTTCCTTCCTCTGAGTCGTCGTCCATCACGCCACTGTGAAAACCCCAAATTTATTTCGTTATTGTAACCCACTTCCGTTAATAAAATTTAAATTTTATTAAAATTTTCCGTTATCTTCTCGGGTCTAATTAAAAATTCTAAACTCAATACAATCGAGGTTTGGGTCCAAGAACGAACTATTACATGTCAAAACATAAAAATCCGGGCCAAACACCCCTTCAAAAGGAGTGTACGACCACAAACTCGAGTTTAAGGCCGTACACCCCCACCCACCCCCTAGCCGTAAACTCACTCCAATATAAGGGATGAGTGGACTTAATTTATCCTTTTACCACTTCAAAGACTCTTTCTCTCTCTACTCTCTCTCTCTCTCTACAATTTTCGAGTTTTGCTCAAGGATCATAAAAAATGTAAGTGATTCTTCACCTTTCTTGTGTTTTAATTCCTTTTCTAGTGATGAATCCATGTTTCATCCCATATAACTTCATGTTTTCTAGATTTTCTCACTCACCAAGAACACCAAGAACACACACTAGTGTTTGGTGGCTAAAAACCTCATTCCAAGCCTCTTACAGTAAGTAACTACCCTCTATGCTTACTATCTACTAGAAACCACTGATTGTTTACTTGGAAATCAACCCAAATCATGAACTCAAAATGGGTTTACGGCCGCAAACCCATGTGTACGGCCGTACACCCTTCAATAGCCGTAAACTCCATTTTAGGTCGATTATTGGCCTTTAAACCCTACTTTGAGCTTTGCAGTTGACTTAGAACATTTCCAAGAGGCTAGAAAGGACCTTAAAACACCGAAAATCACACATCTCGTCAAGTGTTTACGGCCGTAAACCCTTGGGCTATAAACCCTGTTGGGCCGTAAACCCATGACCGTACACTCCTGATTACGACCGTAAACTCCCCATGTTCAATCACATGTGATTCTAACACTTAGTTTCAAGTGTTTCCTAGTCTTAAGGTGATTTCCTTCAATAACAAATGGTGTTATGTCCTCATCTAATACATGTATGCGCCTTTATATGTTAAATAGGATCCGTTTGTGTCTGAGAAATTGTCTGACGCCCAACAACTCCTATTGATTAACACTCGAATTCCACGTCAAACAGTGAGTTCATAGCCTTACGTTTTTTCTGAGTTTTTCATGTTTTCAAGGGGGGAATACAAGCCACACATAAAGGTTTTCACAACTTAAAAACTGATGCAATTACAACGGTTTTCCATCAAACATTTAGATACTTTATCCCTTTTGTAACATGCGGAGCATAAGGGACATTTTCTAATCATAATTGCATAGTTTTCGAAGCAATAAATGAACATAACAAACCATTCAAACTATAATAGGTATTGTCACACCCCAAAACCGAGAACAGTGGAAAGGTTTTGGGGCGGAGGACGTTATGTAAAGTATCACAACACAGTATAACAGTAAACAAGCAAACAACATCATCCACTGCAATAAATATATAATTTTAATACAAGCGTGTTCTGTACAGTTATAGACACCAAAATGTAAATCAAAATAATAAGATGAGTCTTGAATGCGCTTCATCTTCTCAAAAGCTGGCCTCAGTACCTGTCTACTGATGACCTGAGAATACAAGTTATTTTGAAAGAGTTTATCAGCATTAAAGCTGGTGAGTTCATAAGTATTTTAGTGTCGGTGTTTGTATCAAAACGTTTGAACGTGGTTTGAAGTACGAGTTTGTAAATATTGGTGATAAAAGTATGTGAATGTTTGTAAGTGTTTGTGAAAGTTTGAACCTCCTAGAAAATCCTATATTTTCTACTAAAAGTAGCCTTCTACCAAGGCAAAACTGTTTTGTATGTTCGTTTTTGTAAAAGTGTGAAATTTTCCCTTTGTAACTATCATTAACAGAATATAGTTTTTACAATAATGTTTACGTGAAAATGATCACTAAATATATGTAAAGGGTAAATTAATGTAGTACTGTAGTGTTGTATTATAGGAACTACTGCTGTACTAACTACCTTAAACCGAATTTATATCAAGGTATTATGTGATTAATTATACCATACTATCGACTATGAAACACGACAATGTATGTCGTAAAAAAAAGGTATGACGTTTGGCACCCGCAGACCTGCAGGTCCGGCTGTAGCTAGCAGCAAGGTGTAGGATAGTCAATCCAGTATAGATCTATACTTAAACTCACGCTCTCACTCCAAGAGACTCTGGCTACAACTTGGGCCATGACATTGAAGGCATGCTCCGATATAGTGGATCACAATTATGTTAACGTATTCATGTATATGTAAAGTATGATTACTCGTTCTAGTATCGTTGTATATGTTCTCTTTCTAGTATAGTTGTATATGTTCTTCTTTTAGAATATTTATCTATGGTCTCATAGTACTGTAATGTATATGTTCTCATAGTAATATAATGTATATGTTCTCATAGTAATAAGTATTGATTCATGAATGAACTAACTCTTGGAACATCTCATTGTTCTAGAAATAGTATAAGTATTATCCTGTGCTACCCTTATGGTAACTTACTAATGATGTAACTAGTACGCATGAATATGGAAGAACTTTTATGACTATATATGTACATGTGATATATAACTAATATTTAAAAGACCCTCGGACGGATACCCGATACCCCACCAGACCACATCTCAACGGCGAAAAGGAAATAGGGCGGGCAGGCCTTCCTAAGCCTTTTAAACATTAATCATATAACTATATATACATGGGCATGCAATTTATAAAAGTAATATAAAGCTTAAGTACATGTTTTTGATAAATAAAAGAGTTTTTAAAAC